TTGTCAGCAGTCGTGGAATAGTTTGACTGGTGGAGTCCATGCATCGGTCTTACATAGGTGTCACTGCACTGCTAAATACACATGACCTCCATCTGAGCGACAGAATGTTCAAATCAGATTATCGTTGTATGGCCATCATACATACAGCAAAAGTCATGAAGTCAGTCTCTGAAAAAAAATGTAGTCAAAACACGCACATAGTCATGACTTGGTCGCCGTCGCTCTCTCTTTCATCTCCTTTGTGCTTTGAATTAGAACCCACCGCCGCAAATTTCCCAGTGAGAAAAACACATCCACATTGTTCTGCAAACAACCTGATCCCTGCAATTCATCAAGCTCAGCTGGAGAGATAATACACGCTTTGTGACAATGGCTCCACGTCTGCTGCATGTGTGGCTTTCCCACAAACATCGCTTGGGCAACAATGCCCAATGATAACCTGTAAGAACAATAACCGGGCAAATATTAGTTCAGTGCAACAAGATGCGGTGTGGTAGCTCTGTGCTCTAGATGTGGGTAAAATATGCCTGTTGACATTTATTGCATTGGTTTGTACAGCAAAATTAACCTTATAGATCTTTAATAAAATTTGAAGAACTGTTTGCTCATCATTTGTTGGTTCGTTGATTATGATTTTGCTGTTATAAACCAGACCTTGTCAGTGATTCATTTTTTGAGTGTTTTTAACTCCGAGGTTATATCAGGTATGTTGTCAGGCACAGATATGCAATAAATGTTCTCCTCTTGTGCAAAGTTTTTAAGGTTTTAAAGACTTACAAGTTCTAAATATCTACCAACTAAAACAAAACATAAAAAGCTCTGTAATACTGTTCTTCATAACAGCTAAACTTTATGCAACAGTATAGGCAGATGTATGCTAACATGCTAAAGCCATGACTAAGATGTTGATGTTCAATGTCCCCCCCCCCACTATTATTCCTGTTCAATTCTCACATTTGCAATTACCTTAGTATCAACCAATAAAGTTCTGTGGCTTCCAGGTTTGCTTCTGCATCGTGCAGCTCTCTGTACATTCTCCCACTGACTCTGTCATCTGGCTTCCACTTTGCCCAAAGACTTGGCTTGGCCATTGGAAATTTTACAAATATATATAACCTCCATGGAATAAATTCTTTATAGAATGAGTAATGGTTGACCTTATTCGCAGTTGGATGTGTCCCGTCAACAGTTTCACAGACATTACTTTTATAATGGTGGCACATGGGACTGCAGCAACACAAGTGGCGACTGGGACAAATTGGCAGAAAGGTTTGCTGGTGGCACTTTATCCAACCCTATTAATACACCAATGCACTAAAACAAAAAAAAAATGTACAGCAGTAGATTATGGGAAAGTCATTAGTTTTGCATGTAGGTCATGAACCAAAGTATTGGACAAATTGGAATTTTGATCTAATGGTGTTAGATGAAAAACGATCACATTTCATCCTAATGGGTACATAAATATCTGTACCAAATTTCATGGCAGTCCATCCATTAGTGGTTGAGATATTTCGCAAAAAAATGCCACAAGGTGGCATTAGAGGAAAAGTCAGATGAACCACCAAAGTCAGTGGAACACATTGTCTGGAACTAGTTGTGCAATTTAATCCAGTTGATGTTTACACGCTTCTCTGGGTATCTAAGATGTTTTAGCCTCTGGTGGTGCTGGATGAAAAGTAAGCAAATCATTTGAGTCATTATGAGTCATCTTCTCAGTGCTCATAAATCTCTGTTTTTTCCTTGCAGTCTTGAAAGTTGTGATCAAAGCAGCCACCAGCCAAATGTAACCTGACTGGGAGCTTAAAAATGGCTAAAATTGGTATATGCCTATTTTAAGTGGTTGTCAGTCAAAATGGCTCATCCAGTAATAAATGATTTTAAAAATGGCATCAGTCCAGCAGGACTAGCGTAGCAGCTATAGTACACGTTTTATATAGTCCCAGACAAATCTACAATCTGACATGATGCTTGTTCCCTCGATGATAATGCTGCTAGAAATGCTCGTATAATCCTTAGTTAATGATACCTCATCTGATAATCCTTCTTGATAGAGATTCCCTGCTGAATATTCCTTAATCCTCACTATCAACAAGGAGGTCTTCGAGGTCGTCTTCATTCTGTCTTGTCAGGAGTCACTTGCTTAAAGAGTGAAAGCAGCAGAACAGGCCTCAGAACAAACGTGGATCCTAAAGGAAGCTGGTTTCTCAGAAAGTAAATTGTATATGTACAACTGGTTGCTTATGTTTCTTCTCTGGTTTGTTGAAAATGTCAGGGTAGCCTCGAATTCCAAGCACCAACAACAGGAACAGCCGTACAACTTTCAAAATAATGGCAAAGCTTGTTGTAGAAATGAATGCATGCGTTGGTTTCTTTAGTTGAAGTCTGTGACTAACCAGAAAATGAGCCATCAAGAGCCATTTTACAGCATTATGTCTAAAAGACGAGGGGGAAAAAACCACGAGATGTGTAAATATATCCAACATCCAGACACATTAGTCAAAACTTATTAAGAGGGAAATGGCAGTATCATATTTGCTGCATGGTGTATTGCTGCCAGTCAAATTTCCTATCACATTACAACAAGGGCTTGCCTTCTCCACTGTGAAAACATCATGAGAGTCATTTGGTCACAGGGGGCAGCGTCTTGCCTGCATTAGGAACCAGACTGGGAAATAGCCGGCTCTCCACACTATTTAAAGCCCTTATGCAGGCAGTGGTGAGGAGAACATACAGACTGCTCAGCTCAGTAGCAGCCTCACCCAAATACAGTAAGTACATCATGTCTTCAGATTTTTTTCTTTAATGTTTGAGCTTTACAGCTTATGTATGTGTGTATTTCTCTAAGACTACAGAGAGGAAAATGAAAGATTTAATGATGTTTTAGATGTTTGTGAAATATTTTACACTGTTAAACATCATTTTCAGCTGTTGTATTGTTTAAAATACCACCTGACTAAATAAATTTGATTCGTGGTTTGATTAGTAGCTGTTAATGCGCTGATTGTGAATCATATCCAACAAGTGTGCTCACTCTGCACAGCAACAACCTCCTCATTAAATATGTGCTTTATTCATTAGAGTTAATCATTTATTCAGAAAATTTATGCCCCAAGTTTTAGAGCTATTATGGATTTTACGCTCCATGAGACTATGAAAACCTTGCGTGCTGTGTGAATTTGATTTGAGTTCTTTTTGAATAAAAGTTGATTCTTAATTAGGAATTCATCTATTATTAAAGTGACTGGTTACAACAGGTTTTCGACGATAAAAACACATTATATTAAATTCTACGAGCAAATAGTTATCCCATCTGTGTGATAGTAAGCAAATAGTGCTACAATGTACTGTTGAACGGTGCAATATGAGATTAAACTATACAGGCAATTTCCTTGCACACAAAGATGTCATTGTTAAATGCAGTTATATCGCCCACTTCTTTCTGTGTTGTGGGGGAAAATGTTTACCGTTGCCCATTAGTGCACTTCCTGGACACTTGCCGTCTGCAAACAAATGAGTGACAGGCTCAATTACAAGTACCAATGACACTTATTTAACCGCAGCTGCTCGGAAATGATGGGGCGGATGACGGCGTGGGTTCATTATCAAATTCACCACTTTAGAGGAAAATAAGGCGACGCCAAATGGGTTGAACTGTAATGTGAAGTTCTATGTGGGCTGCCGGGAATGTGAAATAAGGCATGGATGACTGGTACAGTAGAGGCAATAATTGTGAGTCAATAGTTATCATTTACACTGAGGTTGAGGCTTAAATGCGAGGTTAACCCGAGTAAAGAGTACTAATAAACAGAGTTAGAATATTGATGGATTGTAATGGAATTATTTTCTCAGTTGTATCTTATTACAAGCATGGGTTGACCACAATACATTACAATCACAGGTGTTCTTCAGCAGAAATGCTGCATCAGTGAAACCTATAACAATAGTCTATTTTTCTTTGTACATTCTTACTGTGTGTTATAATTAAGTCCTTGAAAGTCTTCTCAAGCAGAGACCACGTGTTCTCATTAAAGCTACACTTTTACTCTGATTCCTCTTCTGTAGTCACTGGTTAGAACAATCCATTGCTAATATGCAGAAGAGAAACCTGAAGAGAAGTGAATTAAACTGATTGCTTTGGTGAACACAGCTCACTGAGCCGACAGTTAATTATTAAACTCTCATCTGGAGAGAGTCCTTCTGCTTGTCTTAAAGGAGCCAGCAGTGGAGAAGTTCTTGTTAGATTCTGTTTTCAGAGGCACTGATCCATGTGCTATTGCTAAAATATTTGCAGGAAGTTGTTACTGCAGACAAATGTGCTGTAAATGAAGTGAGTAACAGAAGTGAAATATTTCCGCGAAATAATTTCCATGCACACAAGGTAAGACTGGGCTGCTGTTTTGACCTGAAAAACGGCTTCAGTATACATCAAATGAGTGCTATAGCAATAGGTCAAGGGGAATTCCAGTGAAAATTCTTCATAGTAATTTCCCCACCAAAAATGTCATTTGTTGTTTGGCCTTTCGATGTTGCTGAGGGCCTCATGCAATACAATTACAAGGTCTTTCTCAATCTCGCACACCCAGGATCACGCAAGGACACCTGGGACATACTCAAACAAGCTGCCCCCCAGCTGTGAAGAACATAATTGCTTTCTTCAACTGAAGGGCTTCAACCTCCAAACACTCAGCGGATCTGAATGCCCTTCCGGGTAAAGACAAAGTCATCTGTGCCCATGTGCCCTCATGGCAATAGAAGCCTATGGCTTAAGGCGTTATCTGCCCTCTCAGTCATATAACATTCTATGTTCTTCCAGCTTGTTAAGCAGGCTTTATACTGTATACTCACTTATATAACCTGATTGAAACTATGGTGGATTTATTTTCTGTTTTGGCATCTTGCTGTTGCCAGCATACTGATATGTGTGAATGGGGTTGTGTCTAAACACTTGTCATCGCTGTCACCGTTGACATGAGCTTGTCTCCACAGAGCGTTAAGTGATGAACTTCAGCAGGGATGTGGCCCGACAAACCAGTTGTTATACTTATGTGATAGAGGATGAGGATCCAGCCCTGGCGAAGGCTAATGTATTTGAGGTGAGGAAAAAAAAATCTGCAGAGAAAATGGAAATTTACAAATTGATGGACAAACGAACTGTTTTACAACAGGAGTGTTTATCTCACAACCCATCGTAGAACCTAACTTTGTGTAAGTCATTATGAAGAGGTGAACATTTCCACCTTGAAAATGCAGTGTACCAATGACAGTTTCAAAGTGTTTAGACATATTTAGACTTCTGGGGTTTTGTGTGCATCTAACCTCACTAATTAATCCTTGGTGGGACTTTCTGTATCATTATTCTCCATTAGAATCAGCATTCAAACGTACATGGTTGAATTACTCCAATATTTAAACAGAAAACTTATTATATATATATATATATGTAGAAGTCTGGTTTATTGATTGATTGAAGAGAGGTGGGGACTTCATAAATCTATGCATCGTAGGGGAAGCAGTGGTGCAAAGGTACATTTAACTAATTTAAGTTAGGAAGAGATTATTTATATTGAAAATACATCTAAATAAGCAACTTAAAAACACTGATACGAGTTTCAAGGAATTAAACATTTAAGAAGGAGTTTAAATACAAACAGAAGTTTAGCTCGTTATGTCCAGAGGAAATAGCTGCTATGTCATATTTCAGTGATTGAATCAGAAACCTCACCAGGGAAGCGGGTAATATTTTTACTGCATCGTACTCTTTGGTGAAATCTGCTACAAATAATTTGGAAAGTCTACGTGGAAGGACATTTTCTCTTCTTTTCTCTTCCATTGTACAACATTACCATGTAGTTGGCTGAGAGGGGTGACCTGGCTCTCCTGGACAACCTCGTGAGGAAGAGCCCAGAGGTCCTGAGTGAGAAAGATGAATGTGGAGCCAGTCCCCTTCATCATGCCGCCGCAGGGGGCCACGTCACCCTCATCCAATTCATCATCGCTGTCATCGACTCACAGGGTAAGCATGCCTCAGTCATTGATCATAAGATGCACTGTAGCGTGTGAATCACCATAAATTCACCTGTAAGTTACTGTATGGAACAGTGTGATCCATTTTTACATATGGCATCTGGTACAAATAAGAGATGTTTTTGCGTATTTGAATTTGCGTGTAAGTGTATTTGCATGTGTTTTTTTTCCACGTGTCATCTCTCAGAGCTGAACAGCTGTGATGAGGACGGCAATACAGCCCTACACTGGGCAGTGGAGAGGAACAAGGCAGAGAGCTGCAGGGCTCTACTGGACCTGGGGGTTGACCCCAACATCCTCAACAAGGCCCTCATGTCCCCTCTGCATCTGGCTGTCAGCCGCGGACACAACGACCTGGTGGGGGTGAGGAGGCTCAACGTACCCCGCTGACGTAACAATTTATAGGAAGCGTGTTTGCACAGTCAGGCAGAAGCACAGACTTTTTTTTTAATAGCTAATACTTTTAAAAATATAATTGGATTGGTATGTTCAGTTCTTCAAAAATGATGAGTCAGTGTTTTGTGTTGGGATGATGTCGCTCCTGTTTTTCATATTTTACATTTTACATCTAAAAACTTATCACATACTAAAAATTAACACTAAAAACGAAGTGAGAAGCATTGTTCCACATACAGGCAGTAGGCCAGACCTGTGATCTGTTCCTGTGTCATTGATCTGCCAACATTTATGCGATGTAAATAAAGCATTTATCTTTACTTCTTTTGTATCACATAAACTTTGAGCAGCCATGGCATGCTAAAGTCAACTGACAAGTGTTTACATATCTGACTCAACAGTCTGCTCTGAAAGACCTTGTCATGCCATTGCCACGGCATTTGGCTCTTGTCCACAAACTGACAAAGGACGCGTGCATATAGGTAGAAGGGTAAATGAATATGGACTGGATGGAGCTCACTGTTTTTGTCTTTGCTCCCTCCAGTTGCTGTTGTCCTACAACACCACAGACTGTAATCTGCAGGGAGACCTTGAGAACACCCCGCTGATACTTGCCTGCTCCATCAATAACTGTGAGGCTCTCAGAATTTTGGTATGTACGAAGCTTTCGGCCGCACTGTGTACCTGCACCCACCTGTAAAAGAAAGCTGTCCATCTTCACACAACACATTGTGTTTCCTCAACTGCAACTCTGTCTCTGACACAGCATTGTCTTTTGTTTGTCTTTGTCTCCGATCCATTCTCCTGTCCGTCAAAGATAAAGCATGGAGCGAAGCTCTGCAGACGAAACAAGCTCGGCCATTACCCCATACACGCTGCGGCTTTCGCAGGCGCAAAGAAATCCATGGAAGTGATTCTGAAGGAAGGTATGACAAAGGGAATGATCCATCATCAGAAATTGAAAGTGCTGACAACATTGAAAATATTTTTCATGGCCAAGCAGCACATTAAGCTGATAGATAACAAGACAGTTCACCTCAGCCCCCGAGAGATATTTTGCTGGAAAATGCCCGTGCTTCTTTGTACATAGGCCAGATGCTGCAGCCTGACAGTGTGTTTATCCACAGTGGGAGGTCTGCTTGGTAAATCTCGTTTTTGTTGGAGAGAGTTGAGTCAGTGCACAAAATATTTATGTTTTTTTTTCTGTGATTGCTTAGCCAGAGAATTAATGGGCATTCACATACTTGTGCTGTTTGGATTTTTACACAAACAGCCCACCTTGATTGGACTAAATTACTTCTTACTTCTTTCCACTGAAAAACAAAACAAAAATAATTTAGGGATAAAGAAGGATGAAGGAAACTGCCATGAGCTATCCATCCATCCATCCATCCATCCATCCATCCATCCGTTATTTATACACCACTTAATCACTTAATCTTCACTAGGGTTGTGGGGGACTGGAGTCTATCCCAGCTGACTTAGGGCGAAGGCCGGGGACATCCTGGACAGGTCACCAGTCTATCACAGGGCTGCCATTATGGGCTTCATAAGTATATTATTTGATATTAAGAAACAGTTTATTTCATTATCTACTTGCAGGAGAAGAGTTCGGCCACATTTGTGCGTCCCACATCAACTATTTAGACAAGTCCAATAGCAGTCCCCTCCATCTGGCTGTCCGTGGCGGTAATATTGAGACAATCCGTCTCTGCATTGCGACTGGGGCCAAAGTTGACCAGCAACAGGTACTTAAACAACAAACATGCACTTTTCTACACTGGTTGAACACCTTCATAAATCTAGACTTTTCAAAAAAACATTAAAATGTCTGTCAGGAAGGGCAGACACTCATTTGCTTTTCACCACTGTTTTCCCTACCACTTGGCATGACACAAACAGACTGTCATGGGAACTACTGGTTACAAATATTGTGATCCTTCTTCCATCTGTCCACTGCATGCTCTGTCCGATTTGCATTGTTTTCAAATGTAAATCTTATTTGCCTACACCTGTAAAGCATTTCCCTGGCAAAGGGTCCTGGTCTTTGTACTGTTAGAGCATGTCATTCTTATCACCCCCATCTGGGAGTGATCGTTATATCTAGCCTTGGGCCAGTGGCCAGAGCTACAGCAGGAATAGTGAGTACAGTAATAGCTTCGGTTGCCTAAATTGATACAAATTACCTCCACTTACACTGTGGTGCTGAGTGGAGCGATCACTGGCCTCCTCCTGCCAGTCCTGGTTATCTCATTAAAGGCTTGTGTTACAGCCCCCAGTGTTCAGCCAACAAGCCTGGAAGATACTTTGCTAATGTTTCACTGGGGAAGCCTACAATATGTATGTGTGCAAGTGAGTACACATGATAGCTTGTGTGCATACTAATTCCTGCATGTGTGCTTATTGTTCTGTGTTTATATCGCGCCCAGTTTTCTATCACTCCCTGCAGAGTGTCTGTATGGAGCAGATGTAACCATGTTTGACAAGCTTGTGAATATGTATTGTAGTTATTCATTATTCATCATTTATAATGCATCCATGTTTGTTGCGGTCCAGAATGACAAGTCTACACCGCTTCATTTGGCCTGCACCCAGGGTGCTATGGAGGTAGTCAAATTGATGCTCTCCTCCGTTGACCAAGTGGAAGACATCATCAACCTAACTGATGGGGCGTTTCAGACGCCTCTACACAGGTGGGTTTCCCCTTTCCTTGCACCCTGACGCTGAAAGTAGTTTTCTAAAAATGTCGATTACATAACCTCCATTACTGTGTGTTAATAGTGCCGCTGCATGCGGTGGCATCGGTTTCAAAATAATGGGAATATGACAGTATAGCTCCATAATGGCCTCTTGTCTGCAATCCACCCGTTTCATTTCATATTATGCGTACAGTTAAATGACGGTTTCAGCTGTGAGTTGGAACTTGGAGGACCAGTTTGACATGATAGCAAATGTTTTCTTGTTTAGAATTGGACCAATACTATGGGGGGTTCTTATTGGTGGGGGACTATTTCTAGGTTGCATGCAGGGACTAAATCTTTTCATGCTAAGCTCAACATGTGCTGACAGTAGCTTTATGTTTGTTGTTGGTAGTGTGTATGAGGGTCGTATCGCTCACCTCTCAGAAACCAAATAAGAGCATCTCCCTACAAATATAAAACCACTGGCTAGTTTCACAACATCAAGGGCAAATGCTAAATCTGCTGAAGGCTGCCAGTGATTCTACAGCAGGAAATGCAAGTCATGCTGATACTGAGAATTCTCTAAACAGTCACCTTCCACGTCTGTGCCGAATCTTTGCAGTTTAGATAAATAGTTGTTGCTTGATAGACTGATGCCTTTACAAAAACTGCACGTTGTTGTTTTACCTAATGTGCTCCAAAGAAGGTCAAGATCACTGTGGGTGAGGGCCTTACACATGCTATCAATTTGCGTTTTAAGGATTTCTACAAACACGGGGGTTTTCGCATTAGTCTGCACTCGACTAACTATGGAAAGCGATTTCACCATGCACAATGTATCTTTCAGGAACTTACTGACAAGCTGCTTGTCTGTATACCATCTCTGAAACATGCAACATTTGTTTTATTGGTCAAGTATGTTTTTTATTACTCCTCAGTCTGTCTAATTTGTTTCCATACTTGCCTCCTCTCTGCTTTGTGTAAACACAGCCTGCAGTTCAGCTGAATAGACGGCAAACCTCCGTTGCATGACTGTTGCTCACAGCTGAATCACTCATGACTCATGAGAGTGCAGGATTATTATTTTTTTTTTTTACCAGATTTGCTTGCTGTAAACAGTTTATTTCAGGCAGATTTTAAAGGAGACATACAGAATAAAGCCATATTTAGTACATGTTACAGTTTTAAACTTAGATTTGGTTGATTTCTTCAGATGGAGCCACATGTCACACCTGATTCAGTCAAGGGACATAAGAGACAGTCTGATGAATCTTCCTGTTTTTACAACTTCTGGCTGCAATAAACAGTGTAATCAAGCATTTTTTTAAGAAAATGGAATTACTTTTTACGTCGGTTGCACTAACATTCAGAAAACCAGAACTTAGAAAATGGATCAGTTCTTTTCAGTGGCAGGGCTTTTCTATCGAGTTCTAAGTTTGTGACTTTTGGAGTGCAAATTTGGTAGTTGACAAAATCCAAACCAAACCATCCTGACAGTGCTGACCTTTGAGAGAACAGAGACAGACTTTCAGATTCCAAATGGAGCAAGTTATTATATTAACTGTATCACTCTCCACTGAGGACAAACTACTGATAGGAGTGTATTATACAAATATGCTCCCATGACTTACCGTAGTGACTGAGAGCATAAAAACTCTACATTTCTACCATCAGTGTGTTTAGAAATACATTTCATAGCTAAAATTTCCATCTTAATTAGTTATTTTATCAGTGTTTCGGTTAAACCTGTCGTAGACATAACAGCCTGAAATATACACCACTACAATTATATAGACGTTTAATATTTGCAGTTGCTATCTCAACTGTTTGCTTGTGCTGAGTAAAGATCCATTTATTCTATTAACACTACATCACTGTGGTAAACAAGAGGAATAGATATAAAAAGAGATATACAGCAGAACAGCGGTCCTTAATTGGATGCAATAATGATGATATAATTACATAATAAAGATATGCATCCTGCATAGATTTTATCTGCAAGCTATTTGTGTTGGCACAGACGGCATCAGAGTAAAGAACAAAGGTCTGTGCTCTATATTTTCATTCTTATTGAGATACCAACGCCATAATGTGCTGTAAAATACCCACATTAATCTAACAGCTAGTCTACCATCACACTCATGACCTCTTAAACACAACAGCTATGCTCCCTTTTTTTTCCCAGACATAGGGGTTTGCAGATTTCTAAATAATCAAGTATCTTTGGACTATGATTCAGTTGTGGAAACATCCACTCTCGTCTCGCTCTTGATACAGAATATCAGGTATTAGTCATTAAAAGTACGTCATGTAAGGGAAGCCTTACAATCAGATCAAGATAAAACGTGCAAGCGCTGAAAATCTGGTTAGATCATGCTGTGACAAAGCAGAATTAGAATGAAGTTGTTCTTTTTTTGACACGCGATTAAGACCTTGACTCACAAAGTCATGTGCGTTACAACTGGTTTACAACAACTGTGTTTACCTTTCCAGGGCTACAATATTTGACCACACAGAGCTGGCGGAGTACCTAATTTCTTTGGTAAATATGGCACACAAATACACACGCTACACAGCTGTTAAACACAGAACATATCAGAGTTCAACATCAGAGACTGGGATATTAATCTCCTGCTTGTAAGACAGAGAAACCACACTTTTTTTTTTTTTTTACCCCCAACCCTGTTGTAAATACACTAAGAAACTTAATGGGCAAATCAACAACATTTGCATGTCTTTAATAGAATCTACCGCTTTACTCCAAATGATCTCATTGCCACCATTAAACAGTGTTTGCAATTTTAAATACATTACTTGGCTGAATAAATGTTAAAGGTGCTGCCCGTTGTTTGTGGACCATCTGTCACCATCTGTTGCTCTTAGATTGTTGTAGCAGAACTGTGTTGCTAGGAGGAAGGTGGAGTCAAGTTTATGTTTTTTATCAATTCATTCTGTTAGCAAACAGCAGAACAGGAAATAAACCTCAGTGCCTCTATCTCTGAAATTGTAAATTGGCGGTACATTGGGAGCGACATTACCTGGCAGCCACCAGCGGAGTCTCCGGCTCGACTCCCAGCTGGCCGGATGGATTATTTACTGCGCGTCATTTCCCTCCACTGTCACCATCAATTAAAATACCATGAACATAATGCTGCAATCAACTGTTTACTTTACCGAACAGGACACATGTTTTAACAATGTGCATTTTTAAGCACAAGTAACTCACTTTTTGTCAAGCCCCATTTGCTTAGTTTGCTGTTCCTATCCCTGTCCAATGTCTTGCATGACACAAGTGCATACATCTATGTTTAAACCATTTCAGACGGAGGTGTACAGTTTCTCATTTCAAGTCTGTTTTATCAGCAAAACTGATGGTTAACACTGCAAGGTTTGATTTGGTTCCTCGTCAGTCATTGATTAAAGTCCTGAATCTCATCTCAGTGTATCAAAGTTTTTTTTTTTGTTTTTTTTTTGTTTTTTTTTTATGAAAATCGTCCCCTCCTGCCTTAAAATGGCTCAGAGGTAATGTTACATTGTCGCCTGCTTCAGACTGTGTAGATCTACAAAGTCCCTGCCCCTCCCTCCATCACTTGCTACAGCCTGAGCACACCAGCTCACCTACGACTCTGCTCAAACACCATAAAACTACACTATTACTCTGTTATAAAGCTGGCGAGAACCCTGATGACACACGTTAACACAGCCCTTCTCCCCAAAATTCCAATCTTATACAACTAAACTGTATTCTCATTTACATGTTGAAACATACATATTTTCTTAGTGAAATGTAAAACTGTGACACAGAAAGTCTTCAAGTTTGAAACAGCAACAAAGTCTGCACAAGGGGGTAGGAAATGGACATATGTCTGCAAAAGGACTCTCATCCAGGGGACTGGGGTTTGCGTCACTGTTCACTTGCTGTTTGGTTAAGTTTGGGCACCGAAGCTGCATGGTTAGATTTAGAAAAATGTCATACTGTGATTAACACTTTCACAAATATTCCTACAAATCAGAAGCTTGGTAAGGTTTAGGCACAAGAATTACCTGAATAGATTTCAGAAAATAGCACAGTTTTGGTTAAAATACAACACTTTCATAACATCTTTGAAGCTCCACTTCCAATTTCTGGATTACGAGGCTGACAACTCCTGCCTGATCTAAAATATGAATGGTTGGCAACAGTAAGGCAGTGGGATAAATGGCAAAGATATGTTGATTAGAAACATATTTGTGATACATCACAATCAAAAATAATCCTGCAGAGAATATACTTCCCTTAAAACATACTTGGAAATGCAGTGTAGTTGTATAGTAATGCAATTTTGGGAGGGACATGGCTGGTTATCAAGGTAGAAAATTTGATATTCATTAGAGGAGGTCTTTAAGCTTTGTATTTTAGATAAAAACAGTGTTCATGGACGATAAAAGCTGACTCTTTTAAAAACAAAAAGGAAATTTAGCTTTAAATGTGCTTTTAATAGCTACATAATGTGGAACTAAACCTGCATGTTCCAAAATGATAATTGTGTTTTCTCCTTGCTTATGATTCATGTTAAAGCAGCTGATAAGTCCCATAGACGACTTAATGTATCGTAATCATCATAAAGAAAGTTATAAGATCAGCATGTCTATTACTTACTTACATACTTTACATGTTTTTATTTTCTATCTGATAGTTTAAAGTGTGATAGCCTTCGATCAGCTCCCACACTACCACAGTTATGAAATACTTCAGAGTATGCGCTCCTTGTGAAAGGTTTTTTAATGCAGCCTGCACCCACACAAACTAATGTAGGTAATGATATGCTCCTTTGCCTTGGGAGTCCACTCGCTTACTACTGCTGGTATTAACCACGCCAGCTTACATAAGAGCATTCTTTAATCAGTCCCACTTTGGCTGTAAGACATCATCTATGAGTGTATTGCTCAAGAGTATTTTTGCACTTTCAAATTTTCATTTTATTTTGAATTCTGTGCAAACTTACCCCCCATGCTTTGCATACTGGTTCAGCACTCATAGATCCTGATAGACCTGCGGTGCAAAGTCAAGGTTGTAAAGCTATAATTGGACTAGTCGAGGTTAGCAGAGGTTTGAAATACTACCAAAATCAGATTTTTAATCATTGCCAATTTTCTCCACAATGCTTTTATTTGCTTTCCTAAATCCCAGCAATGTGTGTTAAAATCTATGAGGCAACGTTAAGGCTTCAATGCATTCTCTTCTCAGGGTGCTGACCTAAACAGCATCGATTGCAAAGGAAACTCTCCCTTGCTTCTGGCTACGAGCTGTAGCGCATGGAAAACCGTGGCTCTGCTGCTGTCAAAAGGTGAGCTACAGTGCCGCGCTCCACCAGCAGCAGTGCTCGCATAATTTGTAATTTGATGGCTTGTAATGCGGGTCCCGAACACGTGCGAATATGTTCATGTCTTTTTAGGGGCAGATGTAAATGTGACAGACAAATGCGGCTGTAACTTCCTCCACCTGGCGATTCTGCAGCCCAAGGGCCTGAAAAATCTTCCGGAAGAAGTGCTGCAGGTAGCTTCAATCAGCTTTTCAAAATGTGCTGCTTAGACAAACATGTCATGCAGCATTGGGAATCTAATTACTATGATGTCCTTGATCAATTTGCCTTGAGCCTGCATGCATTCAAGGCCAGCAGATAAAACTCATTACACTCTCATTAAGCCAGAGAGTCCCTAAGACATTGCATGATGGTACCTAAAGCTGCAACAGTGTCACAGCTTTCAAAAGGATCCATATGTAGACAGTGTATGGATGGGAACATTATTACAATGCATTATTATTTATATATTGGTGTGGATAACTGCAGCTGTTCATGAGTTTTATAATATGTGCCATTTACTTTATTTGCTCATACACATTCCCCTATGTGATGTAGATTATTATGTATGATTATAACATGCATAATGTGTCTGCTTTCAGCGTAACAGTGTAAAGGCTTTGCTGAGCTGTGAGGATAACGAGGGCTGCACCCCGCTCCACTACGCTTGCAGACTGGGCATCCATGACTCAGTGAAGAACATGCTCGGCCTTTCGGGGCAGGTCGGCCTCTCGTGCAAGTCCAAGGACAAGAAGTCTGCCCTGCATTTCGCTGCTCAGTGAGTTTGATTGGTCCCCGAGGGCAAGACTTTTCCATGCCATTGATCTAAACAATACTGATTTGACCCAGTTTTCACACAAAGTTGCTTAAACTTTGCAAAATTGTTCAGAGAAATGCGAGCACAGCGGATGACACTGACCAACGTGGGGTGGAGATTGTGTATCCGCTTTAGCTGTTTCATCTACAATGAATTTCTTAGTTTACCTCTATCATCAAGAAGGAAAAGTAGTCATAAACCTTCCCTGGCTTAAAAATGGAAGCTTCACAGACAGGTAAAGATCACAGCTTGAACACCGTTCTTCTAGTATTGAATAATGCTAATACACAGAATATAAAAGAGTACTGATCAATGAAACAGAAGAGTATAAAGATTAATCCCAAAATGGCTTCTTCAGAAGACACTGACTTATGATCTCCTGACGTAAAGCCAAGATTTTTGCAGTGCCTCCTTAACTGTGCCGCAGATGAAGGATGAACAATGTAACTGCATTTTAAAATGTTACCTCACTGTCGAGTTATTTTAATCCTGTTAGAAATTTCTGTACTCAGAAGCTTTTTGAAGATTAATTGCAGTGACATACCTATTATACAGTGACCCAAAGGTATTGTCACAAGAATAGAATTCAATTAGCGAGACACATGTGAAGAAGTGTTGCTAATAGTGTGACATGACTGACCCTTCAACATTATTTTTATTGATTTTTCTATCATGTACACCCATTTCATTAGAGCTGGAGGGCAAATGAAGGCTACACTATGATATCATACTTTAACTCTTGTAGAAACCTCGTTCTATTTCCACAGCTGGACCACTGGACAGACTTAAAGCACTGCTGACCTCCTACTTTTGTCCTGTTGCAGCTTCCAGGACCCTGAGCCATTAATGCTACCAAACACTTATGCTATTTTATGTACAGGTTCAAGCCCTGCAACAGCAGACTTCCATTTCAGAGATCAGCTGCTGATAACAGTGAAAAAAAGTTCATCTGCAATCGAATGTTTCTCTTCATCCTTTTTTTCTTCTTTAAGGTACGGGCGCGTCAATACTTGCCACAGATTGCTGGAGACCATTAAAGACTCTCGTCTGCTAAATGAAGGCGATGAGCGGGGCCTAACACCGCTCCATTTGGCCTCAAAAGAAGGGCACACCAAGGTGGTACAGCTGCTGCTACGCAAAGGAGCTCTCTTTCACAGGTAAACAGAAAACATGCACACAAGAATAGGCGTGTATACACACAAAAGCACAGCATGCTACTCTACGATCTGTGCACTGTTTATATTATTGTTTATTTTTATTATTTATATTCTTAGCTATTTTTCAAATCTTGCAAGGATTTCAGTTTACCATATAAAAATCTGTATGCAATGTTTATGTGTCACCAGTACCTGTTTGTTGAGGATGTGTTGTTTACAGTGATTACAAGGGCTGGACTTGCCTTCACCATGCTGCTTCTGAGGGATACACACGGACCATGGACATCCTGCTGTCAGCCAATCTCAAACTACTGGATAAAACAGATGAGGATGGGGTATAAATTACTATTCAGTTTAATGTTATCAACATTGTCAACATCAATTTATAATTCATGCACTTAAAGCAGGGGTGTCGACATCAGGTCCTCGAGGGCCGCAATCCTGCATGTTTTAGATGTGTCCTTCTTCTAACACACCTGATTCAAATGATCAGGATCGTTATCAGACTTCTGCAGAGATTGATGATGAGCTGATCATTTGAATCAGGTGTGTTGGAAGAGGGAAACATCTAAAACATGCAGGATTGCGGCCCTCGAGGACCGCAGTTCGACACCCCTGACTTAAAGCAACAGTATGTAACTTTTGCTGTCTCTGTGGCCACAAGTGGGAATTACAGGTTTCTGGTCTGTTAAAGATCCCCTCTGGTGAAGTTTTGTTAATATTTTCACCTTGAAACTGCAGCATAACAATGAAAGTCTCGACTTTCGTATAGTACAAACCTATAGCAGCAAGCCTGTCAGCTTGTGGGGTCATTATACGACTTTAAAGACAGCAATCACACAAACAGCAATTTGTTTAAAAATGTAATTTCCACATCAAACTGCCATTTCAACAAATTTCACCAACATACTGCAAAAGTTATTTTACCAGTTGAGTGAAGCAGATGCTTTCTCTTTCCATCGACATGTCTAGCTACTGGGAAAACCCCTCCCTGGTGACATTGCTTGCGTTTAAAAACTAGCCAGCAAGTGCAACAACGCAAAACGTAGTAAGCAAATTAATGCTACTTACTCTTCCTACTTATCAGCAAGAACGTCAGCTCAGCATCTGTCCTGCAGCCTTTTGTTTTGTGAAGCTCTTGCCAATGACTTAAAGTGGATCCGAGCACAGTGACAGAGCCAGAGTTTTTATAGGGGTGAGACCATTCCTCACACTGGGGTGCCACAGAAACTGATCATTTGTTTTTCTCTGTGTGGGAAAACTGGGAAAAAAAGTCATATAATCAGTTTTTTGGTCACTTACTTTTATCATGCGCCTATGTAGGTGTGACTCCCATGTAGAAGTATACCGTCAGGACATGCAATATGCTTTTTATGAAACCCTTAACTGATGTATGAGTAGCTGTGTAGGCCTCTAATGAACTTCACTATTGGTTGTTAAGTGGCTTGGACTGAGTACCCCCGAGTCCAAGAATAAGCCTCTCGCTCAATGACTCTCTTCATCCCTTTTTTCGCTTCCTCCATTAAAACATCTTTCGGCTCTTCGCTTCAGCTGTGACGTCTGCACCGAGAACACCAAACTAGCTTTTTCTTCCAGGTAGCTGAGGGACCACAGTTGGTGATGTGTGATGTAATGTTGTCAAGTGTTATGCACTGTGAGATTGTACCCACTCAGCCCAAGTTACATAACAAAAGAACAGATGTTTGGGGCTGCGGACCAGTAATGAAAGAGGTGCCATTCTTCCTTTTACAACTCAGTGTGGCATCAAAATTTTATTTAAGCTATTAATTTAAGGTAAATTATTTGCATAATGTTGACTTAATATTTTGCGGTGACACATTTTTTGCACATGTGCACACAAATATATGGTCACCACCACCAGCAGCGTGGAAGTGATACAAACATTGCTGTTTTAATGTAAAAGCAGAGAAATGTATCTCCTGTTATATATCGATATGCCAGAACACTGCACTCCACTTCGCTGCGAGAGAGGGACATGTGGCTGCAGTCCGGCTCTTGCTAATTCGGGGAGCAGACATCATCGTGAACAAGAACGACACCTCATTCCTTCATGAAGCTCTGCAAAACGGGAAAAAAGATGTGGTCAATGCTGTAATTGACAGTGAAAGGTATGTTAATCATACAAGTGCCAACTCTATGAAGAGAGATGGAAAAAAAGAAGGAATCGGTCTAAAACGGCTTTTAACTGTTAGTATAATCTATTTATTCAGGATTTTATCTTTGCCATTGATCTCCAAAATGTTGCAATTTGATTCCTTTCAGGTATTTTAATGGGTTTTAAATTGTTTGTTTAGCATTAGAGGTAGGGCACAGTCAATAAAGCAACATTTAATCCTTCAATTTATGAGAGAACAAAGTTTGATTTACAAGCTGCTTAGTGTAGAGTTTTGTTTTTGTGAGTATTTTGAGGAGTATTTAGTCGTGATTTCTGTCTCCCACAGTATATTTTTTTCAAAACTACCGTTGGGAAAGTCATTTTTAACAATATGCATATTGTAGTTGTTCTAATATTTCTTGGTGGTTGTCTTCTTCCAGGTGTGCTGAGGCTTTGAAGGTGTTCACTCCCGGCAGCAGCCAGCGATGTCCCATAGTAGACATGATTGAGTTTTTGCCTGAGACCTACAAGGTTTGCCACTGCTGAAGAAAAAACACATTAATCTGTGTACACATTCATCACAACTATTTTATCTGCATTTTTCTGTTACGCAACCTGTTTTAACTGAGCACTGGGCAATGATTTAAAGCTGCGTCGCTGTGTTTTTGCTACTATCTTCAATAGCACCTACTGGATCGCTGTGTGAGGGAATCTGATGATGACCACAACAGTCCTGAATACCATGTAATTGAGCTGAACAATGAAAACAACCCACTATTCTTAGTGCATAAAGAATGTAAAAAGAAAAATACTTAAACACGTCTTTATGTGATGTAGATTGAATATGACTTTGAGTGGCTCCAGGCTCCCATTATGGCAAAGAAGATCACTGACAAGAATTACAAGTTTCAGCCACTAGCTGCGCTCAATGTAAGTAACTTTTTTTTTTCCCTCAAATATAATGTCAGTGCAGGAGAATGCAAATATTCTGCTCCCCCCATGCTTTCTAAGTAGTCATGTTCTATTTTAGTCACGCATCACCCTCTAATGAGGCTCTGTAGACTCAAACACTCACCTCATCTGATCAGGACTTGCCCATTTATCCTCAAGGGACAGTGATGATACTTTTCTCCAGCCACTTTTCTGCAGTGACAGCAACAACTACATAGCCACGGTTTGTGGCTTTGACATGAGAGACTTTACTTTTCCTTGCACAGGTTAGTGAAGCGCAATCGTGTAACCTTGCAAAGCCACAGTGTTTACACCTGCTCATAGCTAATGACAAAAATGAAGATGACACTTTCTCAGTGCGATGTTGACGAAAAGTTCTGATCTGAGTGTGTGTCCTTGGATTCTCATTCTTGTGGCTGCCTTAAAAGGTAACAGAGTATATTCCTGCTGTCATACTACTGGCCTTCCATGTTTGCCACTAGGCAGGGAGGCATGCTGAGGTTAGCAATGTCTAGTGTGAGAAATGGAGCAGTTAAAGTTTACAACCAAATCTGTTGCTCAGGTTTGGTTGTAAACAGATAAGCAAATCTGGTGAGGTGGCTTTGAGTCAATGGGCCAACTGCTTTGTGCTGACTTCTTTGACCACAACAAAGACTCTGTCAGAATAAACCATGAGGTCAGGCTGAGGCTCACTTGCCAATAATGTCACTGTGTGTTGTCTATGGATGTTTTTCGCTCAGTATTATAAATAATACACAGATAGACCTCATTGTATAAATGCGATAGACGAAATAATAGAAACACCTATCACTATGTTGCATGACCTACTGCAACCTCCAAAATGATCAAACAGCTGCATTAACACCAAGAAACTACACACTGTAACCCTCATAAAAGTAGGATGTGCTGCACAACTATTGTATAAAAGTGCCTTAGTTTTGTTCCAAATTAACAGACAACTATGATTTGTTCAAAAGGGGTTTAATCTGCATGCAAACGTTGACCAATTTGGTAAATGGCCAAATCTACAGAGCCCTTTAAAGGCCTCTAGCAAATCACTGAACTCAAGGTACATTTTGTAATTTTTGTTTTGCAGTCATCCACATAGCAATCACCACTCCTTTTAGTAATGGCATTATATTATTGTATTATTTGATAAATCGCAAAAACAAAACCATCTTTCAACACATATCTTTCACCCAATGTTAGAAATACTAAATGGTCTATTTCTGCTTGCTGATGTCCTCCTACATTATGCGAGTGCAGATCAATAACCGGCTCATACTTCTAAATCTTTTAGACATTAGCTGTCAGGCTGTTCTTACCTGCTTGTGGAAAATGTACTATTGACTGTGGACTATTTCTCTGTTATTCTATCTGCAGGCAATGGTGCAGTACAACCGCATTGAACTCCTCAACCACCCAGTCTGCAAAAAGTATCTGGCAATGAAGTGGTGTGTATTCATCCCTGAGAGTAACATTTCTCATTCTCACATAGAATTGCTGATCTGATTAGAAGAAGAACGATTCACTCTGCTGCAAAATGCCAGTGAATGACTTACTTAGAATGTTAGCCCTGACTGTCTTTTTCTTTATTCGCAGGGTTGCATATGGGAGCACGGCTCATGTTCTCAACATGTTCTTGTACCTGTTAGGGCTAATGCCCTTAACTCACCTGATAGTGACTTTAAGGCCCTCTATGAACACCACTGAAACGGGCGGACACGACATCATCATGGTGCCAGTATCTTTCACCCAGGTACGAAGGAGAGGTCTGATCAGTATCAAAGATGTTAAAGCTCTATGGATGTCTAATTTATGTAATTACGTAATTAATAATCAGTCCAATAGTGAAACCACCTAATATTCTGTAGCTTCCACTTTGTGTTGCCATAAAAGTTCTGAGACAGAAGCTCTAGGAGCATCCTGTGGTGTCCAGCACTGGGATGTAGTGGATCCTTTGGGTCTGGTGGGTTGTTGGGTGGTATTTTTTCTAGCACATCTCTTGGATGTTTGACCAGGTTGGGATCTGGGGAATTTGGAGGCAGCGTCAAAGCTTTAGTCTGATGTTATACTTTCCACGAGTATGTGAGGGTCCACAACTCACCAAGTCCACATGGTAACTATGTTACAAGGGTGTGGCGTACTTTCCCAATGGACTCCCATGGGCAAGGAAAGTGTATAATTGTAACAACTGCATGTCCGCATCAGTTGTACTTGGTATGGAGTTGGATACATTCTCAGTAGGTTGTATCTACGTTTTTTTTTGCACACATTACTGCTGAGCTTACGTATTATCCGTACGGACATGAATTTTGGGCTGAACATGTGCGGAATGATCCAAGCAGACGCTCACGAATTTGGGGAGATGACAAAAATTTGCGGAACATTAGCAGATCCAAGGGTACTCACAAGCATAGAAAGTATAACACTTGTCTTGGACTCTTTTTTTGTGTTCCTACAGTTGTTCATGCACAGTTTTTGCAGTGTGGGAGAGCACATTGTCTTGCTGGGAGGGGTGGCTTGGTCTTCAACTGGGTTAATATTGTTTAGGATGGTGGTATGGGTGAAAATCCATGTCAAGACCCAAGGTTTCCTGTTAGAACATTGTATTGCATCAAGATAATCAGTGTCAAACATTTCACCTGTAAGTGGTTTTATTGCTGTGACAAATCGTGTGACTTACCATAACAGATGGTGATCATTTTTTGTGATGCACTCTCACTGAATAACATAAATCTCAACGTTGCTCTTCATTTCACAGCAAAGTCTGTTCATGAGCTTTTGCATGGTGATGGTCGTGATTATGAACATCTACTCAATAGTGAAGGAAGTGGTGCAGATTACACAGCAGGTACAGTGACTGTTACACAAGTGTCATTACCTCATATAAAACATGTGTCCATAAATCTGTTCAGCACCAGGCCTGTGTGGACACATTACCAATCAGGTGTGATGGATGAGTGTCCTCTGATTTAGATTAACAGGATCACTGTAAGGCCGCAGTCGGTGTCACCTCTACACTTTAGTTATACATCACATTACATTTTAAGTAATACACAGTTAAAATAGTGTTGTGCATGGTAGTTTTTAAGCTAAATTCTGTACTGACCACTCAGGCAAGGAAAATTTTTGGAACAATTGTCAAATATCTAGGTCGTTTGTCTAATTATGCTATTTTGTATTTGCTGATTTTTTCTTTTCCTGTTACTTTAAAGCGCTGGAGTTACTTCAGGGATTATTCCAACCAATGTGACTGGATTTCAGCCGTCTTCTCCCTTCTGTTCATAATCCCTGTCATGTTCAATTCAGAGGGCTCATTACACTGGCAAGCAGGTGCAATAGCAGTTTTAAACTCCTGGGTTGGATTTCTCCTTTATCTCCAGAGGTGCTATTCATTTGGACCTAATTTCTCTATTTCAGTGTGTTTTTCATGGTGTTCAGACCACTGACTATTCTGTTCTCCTGTTTTCTCAGGTTTGAAGGTGTTGGCATCTACGTTGTGATGTTTGGGGAGATCATGAGGACATTGATCCGTGTTGTTATGCTGTTCTTCTACCTGATGTTAGCATTCAGTTTGGCATTCCATGCCCTGATGCTCAATCAGGTAGGAGAAGAATGCATTAATCTAAATAAGCATAAATGTCTCAAGCTCCTTTCACATTGTCCTGTGGGAAGATTACAGGACCGTGTGGTGATCGACAAGACTTGATCCTCTTTGGAGTATAATTACACTCATTCATCAGTTTTCAAAACAATCTCAGGAACATTTTAAACCTAGTGTTTGAAGAAAAGTAATATGTTTACCAGAGTCCTCGTCCTATTGGTACCATGAATTCCCATTTCATCAGTGCATCTTAACATACTGTATAGTGCTTTGGATCGAAGAGACCCCACTCTAATGGGTTTAAAACATTTGTTAAACATGTTTTGTCCCTACTGCAAGCAAACCCTGAAAGCCATTTGCACTGAAAAGAATGCCCAATCAAATTTAAAGTTAAAAAACATTTTGGATATGCACTTTCTTTTGCATTAAATTAAGCAAATCTGGTGTTTGGTGATCCTCGCTGTTTGAAAATAATGATAGACAAACTCTCTCTATTGTCACCCATAGGTTTCCTTAACAGCAGTTTTGAGGTTCAAGGCTCTGGCCATCACCATTGTAGCAGTATCTGATTCTGCCTAACTCCACCATCTTTTAAAGCAGCAACAGTCCAATTATGCATACTTTTAAGCCTCAATACAATATAAATGAGTGAGTTATTTAAAAAAATAAAATAAAAAAAACCCTTCTAACAGTTATAATGAACAAGGAAAATAGTAATAGATCTAAAATTATGTAATAGAACTGTATCAGCCTGTAAACATGTTTGTTTCTGCTGTAAAGTTGGGCATTTTAACATCAGCAACCATAAGTATTAACTTACCTTTGGAGGCAGCCTCAAGTGGCAATTTAAAGAACTGCAGCTTTTGGCACTACACTTCATATATATTTTTTATTTCTATAGTACTTTTCATACAAACAGAAATGCAACACAAAGTGCTTTACAGATAACAAATAAAATTACAATAAAACTTTACAAACAACGTTATTAGAGTGGGTGTACAGTCTTCTTAGGGAGACCAAATAGGAGAGCATTACAGTGGGCAATCAGCATGTAGTAAAAGCATGTATTAGTGTCTCTGCATTTGTTTTCAAGAGTACTGGCCCAGTCTAGCAATATGTTTTAGATGATAAAAAGCCATCTTGGTAATATTTTTAATGTGGTGCTCATAATTGATTGCAGAGTCCAAGATAACTGCAAGATTGTTTACTTGTTGGCATGGTTTTAAGGCCAGAACTTATAGTTGTAAACTGAGCTTGTCTCTCTGAGCTTCAGTTCCAATGACCAGTACTTCAGTTTTGTCCTGGTTGAGCTGTAAAAAGTTATTTGAATTTAATGTCTAAAATACAATTTAAAATGGCCTCAGTTGGCCTGGGGTCATCAGGAGACATGGCGATGTACAACTGTGTGTCATCAGCATAACTATGGAAACTGATGCCGTATCTCCTGATGACATTTCCAAGGGATAACATACAGCGCCCTACATAATTATTGGCAGCCCTGGTTAAGATGTGTTCTTTAGCTTCTAGTAAATTCTGTTTTTTTTTCTAAATAATATAGGACCACAATGAAAAAAAGGAGGAAAATTCAACCTTTAATTCAAGTGCATTTATTCAGTGTGAAAAAAATCCCACATTAAAAAATAATTCTTTAAGATCAAATCATGTATGCCACAATTATTAGCACCCTTAATGTTAATACTTTTTACAACCCCCTTTTGCCTACAATTCATTTGAGTTGAGTTGAGTTGAAAGTTACATTTTTCTACAATATTCAGTGTGAGAGTGTGCTTCTGCAATAAAAATTGAATTTATTTTAAGGCTTTTAACACATCTTAACCAGGGGTGCCAATCATTATGGAGGGTGCTGTATATAGATTAAAAAGTGTTGGACCTAAAATTGAACTCTGAGGAACACCACAGTTCATTTTATGGCTCTTAGATGAGGAATCTTCAGTGCTTACTAAAAGCTCTCCATCAATCAGTTAGGATTTAAATCAGTTAAAAACACAACCAGTGTGTCATCTTTTTTTTTTTTTTCTGCCACGGTCGTTGGCATGTGATGATCCCTAAGCTTGAGGTTGACTTTTCTGATCTGGAGTGAAATGTTTTACCAACTTGGAGACGAATTGCCATGAAATTGTTACACATAGTCATGGTCCCCATAGGATGAATATCATTGACTTGGAAAAGGTAAACCTCTGACTTTTCTTCTGCTACTACAGATTAAGGCTTATACTTGTCCAATGAAGTACCTCAAAATCCGTTACATTGAATGGGACAAAGTTCAGTATAGACAGTCGCGGTCCCCAGAGGATGTAATGTAGTGACTTTAGTGATCGTCTGACTTTACACTTAAGATCAGGACAAAATTTCAGTACCTTATATCAATAATATCAACTTCACCCTTTGTTGTACTTGTACTGCGATTTAAGGCATTTTAATATCAATGCTAGACCTATGTATGTTATATAATAACACATATTTGTATAACTCTTTTACTAACCTTCATTTACACATTGGTATTCTTTTTAGAGAGAGTTCGAGAGCGTCCCACTCTCAGTGATGCAAACTTTTGTGATGATGGTTGGAGAACTGAACTACCAGAATAACTTCCTGGATGCATATCTGAACCATGAACTCCCTTTTGGTCCCCTGACATACTTCTTCTTTGTGGGCTTTGTTCTGCTCATGCCAATCCTACTGGTGAACTTGATGGTAAGCAGAGCAATGGACCGTCTCCATGGAGCTACATTTTCAAGCAGTTGTAGCCATACATTCGTAATATATTAGGGAAAGCTGTTTCATTGCTTTTACAACATCGTCATAGGCTCCTTTTGGTATATACTTGACAAAAATGCTAATATTTAGTGTGCGCTAACCTTTTGTCTTTTGATTGGATGGTAGATTGGTTTAGCAGTTGGAGACATTGCTGAAGTTCAAAGAAATGCTGCCCTAAAACGAATAGCCATGCAGGTATGTAAGGAACCAGCTTGTCTGTGCCTAAAGCATTGTTTTAAAAATGCATCACATCTTTTATCCTCCTCACTGTGTGTTTGCCCTGTCCACCAGACAAGCACAAAGGATCTAAAACACAAGCACAATAGAACACACTATGGTGTTTTATACATGGAATACAGACATCTTACACCATTATTTGCATGAGATTATATATTGAAGGTCATTACTTTAAAATACATAGCAAAACCAGATATGTGTTTATGACTAATTAGGTCCAATACAAATTAGCAATAAGGCAACATTGTTGTTAGAAGTGACGAATGCGACTGGAGCCCTTAAGAATATAATTAATAATAGTCTCTTTTAGCCTAAGAATGTATGGTTTTGCTCTTACCAAAGCCTCTCAGAGGAAAATTACTCTCCATTCACTGAACCTCAGCCTCAGCCTGAACAACTGACTTTCTGATCTTAGATTGACCTCCATACCGCTCTGGAAGACAAGCTCCCTTACTGGTTTATGAAACGAGTGGACAAACCCTCCGTCACCACCTACCCCAACCGCAAATGCTCCAGGGTATGATCAGTGTTTGCCATAAACAGATACTGTACTTTTTTTTTTTTTTTATAGCCTGCATTAGGTGAGTATTTCCTCTTCATTAATCCCGTCCACTGTTGATTGCAGCGCTTCCTCAAGGTGATATTCTTTGGTGAAGAGGAAACAAATGAAGTCTGGAATCGTCTGCAGTCCAAATCAAAGAGCTGCACTGTGATAGAGACGGAGCTCAGAAAGCAGAAGCAAAGGTGAAGCATGCAAACGTACACATATGAATAACATAAGGGTCAGTTTTCTATTTCCTAGAATCATCAAAGTGTGCAGGCTTATTACTGCAAGGATGAAAAGTAAATGATTTGGATTTAATACTGCAAATACAAGGAAATAGGGTGCAACAACTTTAAGTGGGCTCATGCATGCCTGTGCATAAACAATGTAGAAGTGGAAAGCAGTGTAGTAATTGTTTTTGATGCATGAGTGACCCCTAGTGGTGACTCCTTGTATCAATTTGTATAGTAAGCGCATTATGTGTCTCGGTGTCATGATGTTCCAAAGGGCTGATTTTCAATGAGGTATTTCACTGAACTGTTGTTTTCTTCTGCAGAATGAAGGAGATGTCCAGCATCCTGGAGAAGCAGCACGGCCTCCTGAAGCTCATCATCCAGAAGATGGAGATCACGTCCGAGGCCGACGAGTACGACGGCCCTGTGACCATCCGGGGCACCATGTGGCCCACTCTGAGTCATGTGAAACCAAGAGGACGGAGCACGTCTCGCTGGGTGCCGCTGATGAAGGCCATCGAGTCCAAACGCAAATGAAGAGGACTTAAAGAAAACGTAGCTACAACTACTGCACAGGGAATTGTCACAGCCTTAAACAGTCATGTGTGATATAAAATAGGTGCATCTTAAGTGTTGAATATAGAGGATAGTTGCATATTGAATGTAAAACTGTGATCTTTGTGGTGTTATTGTAATTTTTTCCACTGTCGACTGACACGGTAGCATTATTAAGTTGCACTAATGACCTGTGGATAAATGAATATCATTCTGTGGTATGTATTCAGTGTTGCCATACCTCTATTACAAACACAATTGTTGTTTCTGTAGTACTGTAATGTGTCTTTATGGCCAGTGCATGCTCTTTTATATTCCAGATAAGATGTTTCAGCTTCCTATTTGTCTCAACCCATAACATCATTTTAAAGTTTTAACCAAAAGATAAAGGAATGGTTTTGTTGCAGTCATTGAATCTATCAATTTTCATCAATTTCCTGTTTGTTGGTTGAGATCACTAATGCAGAATCTACAGCTAAAATACGAGCAGAGAGGAAATTTCCCATGTGGGGATGAATCACATGTCAAGTCCAACTTGGATTTGTAAGAAAAACTAATTGCAGAATTTGAAGATACTGTTGATGACTGTTTTAATTCCCTTATCACCCACCTTAGCCAGACTTCCCTGGAACAAATTGCTACTGCCAAGCGTTTTACAAAGTCCTCTAAAAGGTTTAATCTAACACCAAATTTGGTTTCTTTGCAGTGGCTTCCCATCCAGTTCAGTATCCAGTTGGATGTTTTCCTGATCATGTTTAAAACCTTTCATGTCGGCTTTCCACTTTAATTAAAGAGCGACTGCAGTTTACAACAGTTTTTTTTTTTTTAGTATCTTATGGTGTTTTACACTTTTTTAAAAGTAGCTTTCTTCTGTCTGTGTATTTTCTTTCTGTCTAAAATGTGGCTTCATGTTTTATTTGCTTTTTTTGCCTGAATTGTAAAGCACTCAGTCATACATGCTCTCGTCAGATGGCGAATGAAAAAACCTACTTTATCAGTGGCATTTACATTTAGTTGTAGACGTGAATGTGTGAAAATCTGATTATGTAACACAGATGAACCATTGGGCACGGTTCAATGCATGATACGACAATAAAAATTCAAAAGCTTCACAGTGGTTGTTTGATTTTTGCTCCCGGTTTTTTTTTCTATGTCCGTGTCGCCCTGCAGCTTAAAGCGCTGCAAGCTGCTTCAGTGGGAATCCTAAGAAGTTGGGAGGGAAATGGAGAAAGGCCTCTGACATCATGAGCCTGCACCTGTCTCTCTGCTTCTCCAGAATCGGGCCCCGATAAAGGTCAAGACCCCTGAAAGTCTTTGCTGATAGACGAATGCTAGCTCTCCCTTCAAGTCAAGTCTTGAGTCATATTTATTGCTGTTGGCCCTGAATTTAATTATCCCCAGGGCAAATACAATAACCATGTAACCATCAATTACGCTGATGTTTTGGACAATATTTTCTCTTTACCTGAGGAGCTACACGTACAGAATGACTAATGAGCAGAGTGTTATAGCTCAACCGGCTTCTTGTTGACAGTCAAGGAAGCAGCAGGTTGAATTATGTGTCATATAGCCGATGCCTTTCAGTGTTGGTAAAAAAAAAAGAAGAAAAAAAAACGAAAGACAGCTTATCAAATGAGAAATAAATCCAACAGCAGAATCCCTTAGCTTGCACCTTCAAGTGTGTCAGTCAGGCCGTTCACCTCGCTGACGGATGCAGTGACAGAGGATGAGTTGGCCGCCGGCCCGAAGCTCTAACTGTCTTACCAGCGCAAGTGGAACTTAATATCTCAACGTCATGACACATCCAAGGATACACTAAGAGCCGGGGGGGGGGGGATCACTCCAAGGTCCAGCTGATCTCGGGTCTTGTGAAAAACTGCATGGAAAAGCAGGATTACGGGAAGCACGGGAATGTGACATTGGCTTGGATTAGAGAGCATTCTTGGCCTGTGAAAGACGGAAATTTGAGCAAGAGAAAAGCAAACAATGCTTCAAAATCACTGTGACCTGCATTTTGACAATGAAAAATCAAGTTGGAAGATCATGATAAGAAAGCAATAAACAGATATAACAAGCTATGATAGGCTGAATATTTATGTAGTTTAATAAAGCAGGATTTGAGCCAGCGTGCTGGAATAAATTACACACCATCCTGGGAACTGCTGGAGTACTGTACAGCACCGAGTCAAGTGCAGTACAGTAATTTCCTCCTTTATCTCTCCAGTGACCCTGGCATGGCCATCCACTAAAATCAACCATGCATCTCAGCTGCAGTTAGGTAATCCTTGGCAGAGTCTTGCTATTGTCATAAAAAAGAAAAAAAAATCTAGATTTCACACATATTATGTGGTGTAATAGCTAACAGCGACCTGGGATTTTCTGGGAATATCTTGAGAAAGCAGAGGAGGGAGTCCTGTAAGTACATTCCATTTATTCAGAGAGAAGCCCATTCAAGGTTTTCTCCAAAGCATGACTTGCATTTTTGAGTTTTGCATGCAGCACACTGATGTTTCCAATCGTAAAACTTTAACATCTATTCTGTCGAGGTCTGGTACAAAAACATATGTTTCTCTGAGACTTTTCAGGCAGTAGGCATCTCAGCAACTACTTTGAAACCTCTACCTTAGCTTCTTTCTAGCCTGAGGAAATCTCACTCTCTCCTCTTTTTCTCTTGAGTAGTTGATTTCAAGCATGCCAGCCTGTCTGAAACTCTTAGAAAAGTTTCAAAACAAAAGCAAAAAAAATGGCCAAAAAAATGCACAGTAAAAAAAAAAAAAAGGTCTGTGATACTATGAGAATGAAGATGGTCCCTCCTTGCCTCTGCCACACCCTTGTCATGCCAACGCTCCAGATGTCATGGGAACCGATAACAGCTGGGGCTGGTACACGCAGGCTGCGTGTGAAAGGCTGCTCCATCTGCAGAAACCCAATCCCTCTGTGAAACCAGCAAAGGATTAAGCACTTTTGATAAGGTCCTCAAGACATTTCTATTACCAAAACACATCTGTGGAACCCCAAAAAGAAAAAAGAAAAAAAACAGAAATGTTTGCTGTATATGCACTTCTAAATGTTGCCATGGGTTGAGTGTATCATTATCAGTAAATTTATGCCTTGCTATATGATACAACATATCTGGGGGATTATGCCTGTTTTGTAAAAAATCAATCCTCACACAGCCTTGGAGTAACTTTCAATACACCTTCCACTGGAATTACCAATAATGAGCCATTCATTTACAGGGATTAACCTAATTATCTAGTTGCAGATTGGCAATTAAAGTGTTTAACAGTTTACATAAAGAGACAAAGTTGTGGTCCTGCACTGAGGTCAGGGTGGCTTGGAGCAAAAAAAAAAAAGGGGTGGAGAAATGCTCTGGGAAAGAAAAAAAAAAACTCTGTACAGATGCCAAATCCAGGACACTTAAATTAGAGGGGTAGCAAAGCAAAGAGTTAGAGAGCTGACTTTATCTCATGCACATGGTGCTGCAGTGCTGTCCAGTGCAGTGGTGACACTTTAAGGTGACATAAGTTACAGGTTTACCAAATGGGATCTTTAAAAGGACTGACACTCTGCTGAGTAGTCCTTTACTAAAATCTTTGTCATTTGGAGACTCGAGGTTTTCTGTCCCCGCTGTGCCACTCCTGTCCACCTCCGAGGCACAGGTGGAACAGCCATGTCCACTGGCTCCGCAGCAAGTGATGCTGAGGACGACGAGACGTGTCACAGAAGGACTACCTCCCCTTTGCAGAGCACTGCTCGGAAAATTACCTGCTACAATCCCAGCCGGTATTCGGACGAGGACCTGGAGGATGACGGTGCGGAGGGGAGGAACAAGCAGGAGCGCAGACTCTCCAAGGCGCACCAGAGGGAAGCGCGGCAGTCGCAGAGGAACGCGGCCAACGCCAGGGAGAGGGCGAGGATGAGAGTGCTGAGCAAAGCTTTCTCTAGACTAAAAACCAGCCTGCCCTGGGTTCCAGCGGACACCAAACTGTCCAAATTGGACACGCTTCGCCTCGCCTCCAGCTACATTTCCCACCTTAGACAGCTCCTGCAGGATGATCGATTCGAGAGCAGCTTTGCGCACCCAGTCAATCTGGTATGGATGTGAAGTGTGGCCAGCATGCATGCTCAGAAAACTGCTTCTAAAGTGGCATATTTAATTACGAAACTGCATCAACAAAGCTTTTTGGGGTTTGCAGTGACATTACAATGCTATTTCCCTTTTCTACTACACAATGCAGTTTGTGATGTGAAGTAGTTTGTATTCGTCCTTCTAATGAACCTGTTGCATTTTGTGTCAACAGACGTGGCCATTTATGATGACAGGACGATCAGAGGACGACATCTCATCCACTGTAAGACTTTGTGGAGCAACAGCATAGGCCACCTCTTCACAGGGACACCAGCTCTACAACTAGAAGACAACTAATGGCACTGAAATCCTCCTCTCCAATGTTTTTGAACAACTGTCTCCATCAGTGTGACCCCGATCTCCCCCTTTGTGTCCTAAACAAATGACTTTGGACTCAAAACTATATTGTTTTGTTGTGTGCATGTTTGCTGAAATCAGTATTATGTTGCATTTACACTGAGTGTAACGTCTTCATTTATGTTTGATTTTAAAACTCCACATTTGGGTTTTGTGAACTTCAGTGTTAAATCAGTTTATGCACAGATTCTTGGTTGATTTGATTCATGAGTAAGATGCCTTTTTTTGATACATAAAACTGTTTTGTGAACTCAGCTTGTGTGTAACTTACAGCAGCAGTGTGTTTTATATTCTTTCATTCCACAAAAGAACACGTCACCGCTCAAAATTCTGTCTGACAATTCTGTATTGTAGATCTATTTATTATGTTTGTGTGTTGGCATGTTTGCATTTTGGATAAAAGTTAACTAACAATGCCTTCTTTTCTTATGTTCTCATCCAACCAAAATGCATTATTGGTTATAAGTTATGTAGCACCGTGTCTACTTCAAACCAAAGCACATATTGCCGTGTGACTCGAGGGTGAAGCAGCTCCATGAATCTTGGTGGCTGACATGGGATGTCTGCAGCAGATTAACCTAGAAGGAGCTGCAGCTGCACCATTCATATGCACTGAAAAGCAGCTTATAAATGTGGGATATTGGTATCATTTGTGCACTTCCATGTGTGCATCGCTGGAATGCCACGGAAACTGTTTATAGATCAGTGTTTCAATCATGTAATGAGCGTGCACACATTTCTGGGCAGATTTTTCTCAGATGTTTAGACATCTGTATCTTTGCCTCAAAGTTTTGGCACTCGTCAAAATGATACTCACACACGCATAAACACACAATCACGCTCTTTAAATACAATAAAGTGTCTCTCATACCGTCATCAAGTAAGTTAAGCCACAGAAGGACATATAAAAATGTGGTTTCTGTGGTTAAATGAATCTTTATGCTAAATTAACTGACATGACAGCTCATATCTGGCAGCAAGAGTTTGAGATCTTGAGTCGTGTCGCTAAATAAATTGCAATTTTATTGTGCTTCAGCCAAACAGAATGTAAAAAAAAAATTAGAACGCATTGGTCAAAAGTTCAGGGAGAAACTGAAGGTCACACACACACACACACACACACACATACACAGCCAAGTGTGCACCTCCCCTTCACACAAACACACTCATAAACATCCACACTTAGTCGCCAGAGTGGATAACCGTGATCTTTTTTGATCCAGAAGGCCTTTTATCCCGTTAAACCCGAAAATGATGTGACTACAGATGGATTGAGACCCAGGCCCAGGCAGTCTGATGGGACAGACTGACAAAACAGTTTAAACGAAGAAAGAGACGGAGAGAGGAAAGGACGAGTTTTCATCAGGTTCATGCAGACTTGCAGCTGTTGCCATTTTGGTGAGTTTCCCAGAACTCTGAACTGCTCTCTAGGGAGAAACTGGCCACTCTGCTGGACTCGGGCAGCTAATGAGCTGCCTTCTCACACTCCGTCTGTCTCTGTTCCCGTACCATCCACTTCAAACGTGGCACCAAGGGAAAGCAACTTGTAAACGTCCGATGTGTGACTTGACTGCACTGAAAATGAGGCGTCATTAATCAAAGCGTGGCATGTCAACAAACTGCTGATGTCTGCGACTGGCTCACGTACAGTGAGCAGATCTCTCTTTTTTTTTTCTTTTCCAGAGGCTTCTGTTTTTCACAGATAAAATTACTTGGTGCCAGTTTATGATACCAGTTGCTGGAACAAATGAATGCACACTGTCGCGGAAGGTGAAAGTGTGTTTGCTGTGGCAAGTTGCATCTGAGCTGGTACGGTTTGCAACGTTACATGAGTGGCATCTAGTGGTGAGGAAACGTGAACACACACCAAAGCCAGGATGCACGAGTTGAGCAGCATGTAGCACCTTCAGAAGCGTAAAGTGTCACCTTTAGAAAAGAAAGCATATTCAAGATTACGTTATATAGCCTTGAAATACTCATTTTGCATAACTTTTTTTTGCTTAGCGCTAACATTAGCATTGCAGAAAATGGAAACATACAATTTCTTTGTTAACAAAAAAAAAACAAAACTGGTTCCTTTATTGTTCATTTGTTATTAACAACAACAATAATAATTATTTTTATTTGTAATGCACTTTTCATTTCAACAAAATCTCAAAGTGCCACATTAAAGATTTAAACGGATAAAAACAAAACAAACAGGTAGAATAAGAATAAAGAAAATAAAAATTTCGCGGACATGTTTAATTAAAAGCTTTTTTTAAGGACTGTCTGTGGAGCTTGCTGCACAGTATTGACTTAATTTAAATAATAAATTAATCCCGTGCAGCACTAAACCACATATTACTGTTAAAAATACTTAGCCCAGAGTTAGATCTCTAAAACACAAAAGATATGCAGAAAAAACTCTCAAAAATGTAAGAAAAAATGTATGCAAATGAAATGAGATGACACTGTTTCCACTACAGATTACTGGCTCATATTTTTAATATGAGTGCAGTTGTTCTGTTGTGTTTCAAGCTACTATCTCTCACTGATGAGGCCTAAAATAAGTGGAATGTTCCTTAAAGTTAAACAATCCCATCAGATTTGTAGAATTTATACTTATTTAAAGAAAAATAAGTCTTTGAGATGTAAGACATCGTGTCACGCAGCATGAGACAATAAAGGCAGAAACATCACAGGACATGTTAAAGTGTCTCAGTGGGGAAAAGAACACATGCGAATGATAAAACGAACGGTGGTCGGGTTGAGCTGCTTCGGTTTCTGGGTGCTGGTATTGTTCATGCTGTCTCGCTGTCACACTGTAAAGGCTCAGCTGAATATAACAAAGCCACTGTTAATATTATCAGTAACATCTGCGCTTTTCCTACTACGGTAAGTTAGAATGTCTGCCGTGAAAAAAAAAAACAAGGCCTGTGGATTTTTGCAGATTTTGTTTTTGAATTGCTTTGAGTTAAAAACAAAAGCGGTGCGGTTACGAGAGGACAAGGACGGCAGAAGGATTAGTAAATTGAAGCCAAGTGTGCAGAACTGACTGAAAACTTGAACTTTTTTCAACTCTTCTAATGTAATAAAGCTTCTCTCTTTGCTGTGTTACGCAGGTTTTAGTGCAGCTATGAACTGGCATATGTCTAGTGGAGGACACAACATTACAATTCATGGCCTCTGAAATAACAAATGGCATCTTGAATTTTAACAATCGTGAATACATGCATCCAGCAGAGGTCAGCAAATCTTCACAGTAGCCAATGTGGTGGCAACAAACTGAACATCTCACTGCTCTCTTTCACTTGTAAAGTGACAATCAGAAAGCGTCATTAATTAGCTAGTTTTTACTTCTGTTTTTCTTATATATGGTCATAGTTAATCTTTTTTTTTAATTATTTTAAACAAATGTGATTATATAAATTAGAATACAACAGCAGTCCATTTGCCATTTTGCTGCCTTTGTGCATTCCACTCTGAAGTATATATATTTTTTTCAATCCCATTATCGTCTATTTTTTAAACCAGAGTTTTAAATCAATTCAGGCTGAACACATTGTTTTGATTTTTTAAAAATTGCATCGTCAGCCATCAAAGCTCAGCACAATCCAACTTTTTTTTTTTTTTTTTTTTTTCGTACAACTGAAACATTTTTCATTTGTAGAAGAATTTCCATGAACAGGAAGGAACTATAGGTCCAAAGCCAACATCGGAGGGTTCAGTGAGGCTGCCTTTGTAGCTGCCCCAAAAACACTAACTTTAGGCCTTCGGGCCTGCAGGAATCCAGCCTGGACGCTTTGAGCTTTCCAAACCCATTTTCAACATGTTTGTTATTCAATATCCAGTCACTCAATACCGCTAATGAGAAAAGGGATATGTAAATCCCAAACTATTTCAATCACGTTTGCCTAATGTATACACTTCTCTATGGGGAGATTAGTTCCTCTCCTAAGTCCAGGCTTTGTTTAGAAAATGCATTCTTTCCAGGTATGAAAATTGTGACCCCTGACCCTACAACTGTCATCCTACAACAAAAATTTAAGGTAAGAGTTTGGCTATTGCTTTCCTACAAATTGCTGTAATTATGATTATTGCTGTGGGATTGTAGCACAACATGGACGTAGTGTTTCTGATAATCAATCCACATCCACTTTGGGAGCTGAGAGTTTTTTTCCACTGAACCGAACATCTCCATGAACGTGTCCATGAACTCAGGAACATGGGGTTTAAGGACGCTCGCAACGGATCCAGAGTTGAGCTTGGACCGGAGCAGGCGGACGAAGGAAATGTTTATCTTTGTGAAGGTCAATCTGAATGACATAGTAGATTGACTAACAGAGTTGTACTGCAACTGTCTCAGACATCTTTTCACTTTTCACTACTTTTTTTGAATCTGAACATTTGTTTCTACTTGACAAGAAATTGCTTTCATTTCTAATGATGAAAGAATTATTTTCACTCATAACATATCTATCTATCTATCTATCTATCTATCTATCTATCTATCTATCTATCTATCTATGTATCTATCTATCTATCTATAATTATTTTATTTTATTTTGCTATTATTTGCTAAAATAGTTGGGCATTGTAAGATTTTTTAGAAAAGGTAACTTAAAAAGGAGAAAACTGTACATTTGTTCGGGACTATTTTAAGGTGCAGATTTGATGCGCTAGTATAAGATAATAAAAGGAGTCATCAGAGGGCTTTTTCAATATTGTAAATATTTCCAGCAGTAGGAAGGTGATGTGAACAGACTAACCTAAAACAAACTACATGACTACAGTGCTCAGGTTCTTGTCATTAGGAAACGTGTCACCCTGTGCAACGGTGCAGCTCACTGATGTATTTTTAATAGATTCTTTGACAATAAGCAGGAATAAGCTCCATCAATATTTAGCAAGTAATATTTTGAGTTTGTTTAATCTTTTAATTAGATTTTTTATTTCACTTCTATCACCAGGCTTTTTCTTTGAAGCACGCAACCATGACAATGCAAATATCTGAACTGGCTATAAAAATAGAACTTTTGTTCTGTTTCGTCAGTGATCTTAAAGATTCAGCGTTGCGAGCATACTCGTGAAGATACAGCACACTGTTTGTGTTTATGTCTTCTTGCGTTTAAGTGTGAGCAAGACAGAGAGAAAAAGATGCAGAGAAAAAGAGATCTGCCTTGCGCACAAGACTTCCTGTTACTCTGTGGAGATGACACACTCTTCTGTTAGATAGATGATTGGGTTACAGCGC